TGAGCTCTGTTATTCCCCCCCTGCATTAAACTGTGTTAGTGGAGTCCTCGCACATATCTGAGGTGATCAGTATGCCTTCCTGGAGTTCTGAATTAGTAATACTACGTGCCATGGAGTCAACCCTAAATGGGAAATTTGGAAGAGAAATAGCTCAGGGGTTAATTTGAATGTATTTCCATGTCTCGAAATCAGCACATTGTAGAAAAAAGGAAGCTGCTTAGCATAGTAAATAGTATTTGATGTGTAGCCTCTTTCCTCATCTACAACCAGAGTTGTCTGTCTTTTTGATTTTGAGACGACAAGGTGCCAAGACAGAGGGTGGGGTGGTGTTAATCGGTGGCAACTAATTAGACCTAGTTTGTGAACCCTCCCGGGCCATAAGCCATGATGCTGTGGGTCGAGATTATAGTAATCACTGTAGCTTTCCATGAGAAAGTCGATGAGAAATAGTAGCATTTGACTAAATGCAGCTTCAGGGATCTCTCCTCCAGAGGACAGACATGAGTATTTTAGGAATGCGTCCCTAGTTGTAATAGACTACTGAATTGGTCTCTGAATTCAGGTCTGGTTCAGCCACTCACGTGCTGTGTGAGTTTGGGCAATTCTCTGACCGCTTCGGGCCTCCGTTTCCTCATCTGTATAAGAAGTATGATCCAGCTTTCTCCCCAAATTCTTGGGGAGCATGGGTGGAATGATCAGGGAAAGTTGGACAGAGTGGCTGAGCACATTCCAGGTCCTTTATGCTATCATACAGCTGGCACAGCTGCAGATTCCCAAGAACTGGGACAGAATCTGAAACACAGAGGGATTGTTGAATTAATCAATGAATGGATGGCATTCAGGTACCGCAGGGATGGCCAGTATATCCAATAAGGATGGGAAGACTCAGGCTTGCTTGATTCTTTTGGCATTAAAGGTGTGGAGGCTGGTGGCCAGCAGGTGGCATGGTGGTTAAGGTGCTGGATCCCATATGGCTGATTGCAGCTCAAGTCCTGAACCCAGTGGCCAGGCATGTGTTGTGTGTGTGTCTCACAATCCCAAGAGGGGAATGGAGGAGAAGGGATTGTGTAATGGCCATCCCCCAGGGGGTAGTCTCATTTTCCTTCTCTCTCTTTCTCTCACCAGCAAGTTCATGTGCCCTATGGCAAAAACCTAAAAGAAAATAAAAGTATGGAGGCAGTTCATGAAAAAATCCTAGACTATCAGAGCTTGAGGGAGTCTTGGAGAGCTCATGTTGAAGGATAGTAGAGTCAAGGCCCAGAGAGGGAGAGTGATGGGGCCACAGACACACAGTCAGGGGAAAAGCGAAGGTTAGATACTCCCCACCACATTCCCAACCCAACTTCTTCACGTGTGCCCTTCTCAAAACACATGGGAGAGAAGGGCAGAATCCAAGCATTGGACTCAGAAAGGAGAGGGGGAATAACAGCACTCCAAGGCCTCACCCAGCATCTGCTGTAGGCGGGGGGACTCCCCATTACAGAGGATGAACAAGGATCTACCTCATGGGGCCTAAGGGATGTGAGAAAACACAGACACTGTAATTAATAACCATCAGCAAGAGATTGTGTTGGGTGAGCGCTGAGATGCCTATTGATCAGAGAAGTTAAAACACAAGTTGTTACCAAGTGTCCCTTTGGCCCTGGGTCAATATGCTTCCATACACAAAGGAGCCAGGAGCTGTTGCCGATACTGGGGACATCTTAATCAGGACGGTCAAAGGAGCCTGCACCTCTCAGAGAGATGTCTGCCTTGTGAGCCGCTCTAGCCTCAGTGCCTTTTGCACTCATTCATTCACTTTTTCATTCAATGTCTTCTTTTCTTTCTCTTCTTTGCTTAGGTCTTTGCCATAGGGCGTGTGCACTCACCCAAGAGAGCAAGAGAGACAGGGAAAATGAGAAATCACAGATCCTCAGAGAGGGGAATGGCCATACCACAATCCATTCTCTTCTCTCCTCTTGAGGTTTTGGGCACACATACAATCGGCATGGAAGCCTCCAGATCTGGGGCTCGAACCTCAGTCAGCCATGTGGGAGTCCAGCACCTAAACCTCCACACCACTTGGTGACCTCCATTCTATCTATTATAAATGCTAGGACAGAGCAATGGACAAGAAGGTAGTCACTTCCCCAGTGGAACTCACAGAACAAACAAATACGTGAGGTGATTTCAGAGAGTCATGGGCACTCTGAAGAAAATCACAGAGGTAGGGCATGGAGAGAGGGTGGAAGGGGAAAAGGGTGGGTCTTTCTGAGACTGGATGACTGGGGAAGGCCTCTCTGGGAAGATAGCAGCTGTGCTTGGGTCCAAATGACTAGAAGGAGGTAGGCCCATGAGCCCAGAGCAAGGGTTCTCCAGGGAGAGAAAACAGCCTCTGCAGAGCCCCTGAGATGGGGATGCATTTGGGATGTTGGAGAAATAAAAGGAGGCTGGAGGAAAACGACAGAGGATGAGCTTGGAAAGGTAGGCAGGGGCTAGATCACGCAGCAGCATTTCCCAGAGCAGAGAGCTAGATTTGTCCTGAGTGATGAGGTCATTGGAGAGGGGTCAGCTGTCCCTTTTCAGTGTGAGCACCTTAGCAGTGAGGCATTCATCTGGAGGAAGGGCCAGGCTCCTGGCTAGAGTTCAGCAGACATAACCCTGCCTGAGTAGCAAGCTCTGGGCAAGGCCCTCCTTGGCCTGGGACCGCCATTTCTTTATGCACAACATGCAGGACTTAGCCTTAAGACCTCCCTGCTCTGTCACTCTGGCTTTCTTTCAAGACAAGGGCAAGCCAATATGTACCTTCAGCCTGCTTCATTTATCCACATGTGGGAAACCCTGGCCACTGGGCCACAAGGCTCTGGTGGCCACAATCCATGGGTGGCAATCATGTTGAGGGTAGGAGGCCCAGAAGATAATCCTTGGAACATCCAGCAGCATCCTTGGGTTTGAGGTCGCCTCCCCTCAGCCTTTAGTGTCCCTTTGTCCAACCCCCATATGTCTCAGATGCCAGATGTGTCCTGAGAGGACCAGCTGGTCTGACCTAGCATCTTGTGGGCACTGAACTGTGGACTCCTGGCCAGCACAGGCCCATTCCCCTCTGGGGGATGTAGGGTGAACTGAGCCCCATCTATCAGTCTCCATGTCTGCAGGAAGAGGGGGAGTGATGACTATGAAGGGGAGGAACAGCACAATTTGAAGAAATGCTTGCAGGAGAGTGGCTCCACCTGCAGTGCAGGTTCCTGTGTGCACACACCTGCATGTCCAAGTTGGTGCATGTGTATGCACACGTGTGTAGACTCCGTGGGCACTTGTGAGTGTGAATATAAGTGCCAAGAAGGCAGGGGCTGTGTCTGTTTCACTCACTGTTGATTTCCCAGCACCTGGCGTGTGGTGAGTGATCAATAAACATTTGCAGAGTGGATGAATAAATGTGTGCTCATGTGTAAAAGTTAGTTATCTGTTTTCTAACTTGACAATCTGTTATTTGAGCTTTCTGTCCAGGAAATACATTGAGAAAATACTTGGCATCACCATATACACCCACTGTTTCTTTTTTTATATTATTTTTTAAATCCTGATTTATTTATTTATTTCACAAAAGATACTGAGAAGGAGAGAGACAGAGAGACACATAGAGAGAGAGAGGTACCCTCAACAAGTTCTCACGCTGTGATACACCCACCCCTAGCCTTTCCTAGCTGGCCAGGTTCTCTGACCTCTGTATGTGAGGTTGACTCAGGAATCGAACCCCCATCTTCCACATGGCATCTCACCTTGAAATGTTGCATAACTGCTGTCCCATTGTAAATGAGACTCTTTTAAATTTTTTTAAATAAAATATATTTTAAAAATTATTATATACATTATTTATACATTTAAAAAATTTACATTTAATCTCTGTACATCTTTATAGGGTCCACCATGGTTTTTCCCAGCATGAATACAGCGCATATTAGTTGAGTCAAAGATATTACCATATACGTTATCATATACATTATCACTAGCAGGTAACTTTTCTTGTGTCTATTAAATGTTTTTATTTTTCCCTGATTCTCTCTCTCCTACCCCCCTATTTTACCTTATCCACCTTCCCATACTGATGAGATTTTTAAAATTTATTTAATTTTTTTTCCTCCACAAACAACGTGCCTATGGGAAAGTGTTACACAGCACTGGTGTCCTTTTGGGTGATTTTTCGCGCAATGCAATCCTGTGCAATCGCCGTCCTGACTAAGCGTCAGAACGTTCCCAGCGTTGTACGCTGCCGTGTGCCCTGTCTGGTGTCCCTCCTCCCTGGGTAACCGTGACCCTGTCCTCTAGCAACACAGACTCATGCTGCCTGTCTCTGTGCTCTATGGAAATGTGGCTATGCAACAGGTGTTTACGTGTGTTGCCTTCTTTCACCTGATGTGATATTTGGGAAAGCCACCCATATTTCTCAGGGACGTTGCCTGGCACAGGTTGGCACACTAGTTCTGGAAAGGGCCAGGGAGTAGGTCCTTTAGGCTCTGTGGGCTGTATAGTCTCTGTCTGTTGGAAGTGGCCAAGTCTGCTGTTGTAAACACCCAAACTGCCATAGGTGATATGTAAATGACTGGACATGGCTGTGTTCTGATGAAACTTTATTTATAAAACAGGTGGTGGGGCTGGATTTGGCCATGGGCTGGGTTGACCCAACCTGTTGTACTTTAATGGGAATATGACCCAATTTATCCATTGAACTGCTGGTGAACATTTAGGTGGTTCCCAGTTCTCAGAGTTAAAAGAATGGTGCTGCGGGTGTTCCCGCACATGTTCCCGGGGCACACATGTTGTTGTTGTTGTGAGTGTGTACCTAGGGCGGTGTCTCTGGGTCATAGTGTGGACAGGTGCTCAGGTTTAGGAGGCACTGCTTCCAAGCAGCTGTGACACCACTGGTTCCTACTCAAGCGAGTGTCTGTGTTCTCATACCATATTGTTTTCTTCGTGTTCTGCATGCTACCTTGCTGGCTGGTATCTTGCACTGCTGGCTACTGTCACCAGGAAGTGCCTCCGAAGGTTTCAATTTCCTTGGAGGGGTGCAGGAAAGACCCTGATCTAGCCCCCAGCTCTCCTGAAGTGCCACCACCTGGAATCAAGAGGCAGACAACGCAGAACCTAGGCCCAGCTCACAGCACTCGATTTTGCTGAGAGGTTTTGTAAACGAAACCCTTTCTTTGGTTACAGTAACTTTTTGGTCACTTCATCTGCCATTTCCTTTCGCCCAACAACTCGCATCCCTTGGCAAGTGAACAGGGTCTGCTCTATCAAAGGAAAGAAGGATTAGGTCTTCACTAGGTCTACTTGGAAATAGCCGCTGACCCCTGTTTGCAGATGAGGTGGCCAGTGTAGCAACCCCCCATGTACTTTTGAGTCTCTCTACTTTCCGGTATCGTCCCCAGCTCCTCTGAGCAGTTCAGCCCAGAAAGCCAACTGGCATGACTTATATTTTTGGAATTCCCCATCATCAGCATCCTTCTGTCACAATAGCTGGCATCATGCATTAAGATGGCTTAAGTAAACACAGATCTAAGTTCAAATCCCACTTACTATCATCTATTCTCTGTGACTTTGGGCAGGCCATTTCACCTGCCTGTGATTCAACAGCCATGAATGATTTCGTCTCCTCCTCCAATGACTATCATGAAGCTGTATGACCATTATCTTCACACCACAGATCAGGAAGCTGAGGATCAGAGATGTCAAGGATTGGTTTGAGGGCACACCCACATCTAAACCTTGAATTCTGACTTGAAAGACCATTCGTTGCTCTTAAGCATGAGTCCTGGCTAGGCAGAAAACTGGCTTCCTTTGGAAAAGTCCCCATTCTGTGCTTTTAGAGCCATAAGTTTGGCTAATCAGGAACAATCTCCTTTTCTTGGAGAAATGATTCAACGTTGGATGCAGTCTGATGGAAAAAGTGACTTCCCTCCAAGTTCTTGTAATGAGACAGCGCCAAGGACAAAGTATTGAGGTCTTCTGAGGAGATGGCACTTTTGGTTTTTTTTTCCTCTTTCTCAGCAAAGGACCTGCTGTTTCACATTTCCAACAACTGGCTCACTGTACAGATGCTGGCCTGGGTGAGCTTTAGTGCCGTGGGTCATCTCTGGGCTGATAAATTCCAATTTTGTTTTTTTAGAGTTTTTTTTGCCTTGGGGCACAGGCATTTACTGGAGAGAGAAAGAGATAGATACAGTGAGAGGGAAAGTGAGAAATCCTGCCCCCGCCCCCCCCCTTGGGGGATGGCCATGCCACAATCCCTTCTCCTCCATCCTCCTCCCAGGATCTTGGGTACACATGCACACACTCCTGGTGTGATTTTCAAGCCACCAGTCCAGGACTCAAACCACAATAGGCCATGTGGGAGTCCAGCAATGTAACCACTATGCCATCTGCTGGTCCCAAACTCCACCAGTTTTGAGCTTCAAGTTAGATAGAAGTGAAACTAGTGTTTTTTTCCACTTCATCGGAAATAAAAGATGCTTGTTTGGAAAAATTAAAATTACGAAATCCATTATTAAGTGTAAGAGTTTGGCGATCCCCTACCAGCTGTCCATGATTTGCATAAGGATGCTTTGTTCTGTCACCAAATTTGCCAGGTATGCCTGGAACTTTCGATGGAATCACCTGGCAGG